ATATATAGTCTTGCATGGTAGTCACAAAGTTTTTCCCATAAACTGTTGTTTTAAAGAGCGCGTTAATAAGCCTGACCAGAAAATGTTAAAAAAATCAAAAATTTATATATATATATATATATATATATATATATATATATATATATATATATATATATATATATATATATATATATATATATATATATATATATATATATATATATATATATATATATATATATATATAGTCTTGCATGGTAGTCACAAAGTTTTTCCCATAAACTGTTGTTTTAAAGAGCGCGTTAATAAGCCTGACCAGAAAATGTTAAAAAAATCAAATATTTTTTTTTTTTTAAATTATAGGCTGCCAGCCCAAACTAAACCCTAAGTCGATGTAGCAGCACTCCCTTGCGAGTCAGGCTATTTATCAGTCGATGTAGCAGCACTCTCTAGCAAGTCAGGCTATTTGTCAGTCGATGTAGCAGCATTTCCGTTCCGATGTAGCAACAATTACGCATGTTTTAAAAATGTTTTTTAATAAAACAAAAACAAAACACCACTAATTAAAAAAAGGTAAAGTCGATTTTACGTTCAATAGCAAGAAATCCAAACCAGTCAAAGCAAGATCTAGCAGGAAAATTCAAGACTTCTTGTTCTTATATCAAAAAAGTTCTTAAAAATGTTAAAATTAAAGCATTTCATAAACAATATACTCCTAAGAGAAGCCTAAATTATGAAATTAAAGAAATTCGACGCGCAAAGAAGTTGGTTAAAATAATGGCGGATAAAAAAATGTGCATAATTGAAGACGACGAAACATATTGCAAGGCGGATTTTTCACAACATCCTGGTCAACAGTTTTACTATGAAAACAAAGATACACCTGTCAATGATCAACTTATATATATTCGACGAGAAAAATTTCCATCCAAATTCCTTGTGTGGCAGCCAATTTGTAGCTGTGGTATGCAGTCCTCTTATTTTGTCACTAAAAAGACCTTGCCTGCCAATCTCTACACTCTACATCAAAGAATGCCTCCAAAAAAGACTTTTGCCTTTTATAAAAAGAAACAAACACCGATGTCTCTTTTGGCGCAATCTTGCTGCCTCTCACTGTTCTAAAAACTTTCTACAGTGGTGCAAAGATAGTAATGTGAAAATTGTTGCTAAAGATTCGAATCCTCTAAATCGTCGAAGAGCGCAAGATTGAAGATTTTTGGGCAATAGTTAAAGGAGTTCTTCGTAAGACAGGTGGAGTAACAAATAGTAAAAAAGACTTCCAAAAAAAGTGGATTAATGCCACCAATATAGTGAAAAAAGAAAAAATCTGTAAAATGATGGCATCAACCCGCTATAAAGTTCGATTTCTTGCCAAACAACCCATCAAGCCCTTTCAAGTTAAGTTGAAACTCTAATTTTTGTAAACATATTTAATAATAAAAAAATTGAAATAAAAAGTATTTATGGTTTTAAAAAAATCTCAATTTAATATTGACAGGATTTTTCCGTGTCCACCCGATATCTATTAAACACAAAGAACTTAAAATATTACTTTATTTGGTTAATCTTTAAGCAAACAAAGTTTTCATTTAGCGAAAACTTCAACTCCTAATTGTGAAATCTTAGCATGCTAAATTTAAAACTCTTAATTTTGCTCATCATTTTTTACACCTTTTACCATTCTCTACCTTTATAAATCTCTTGTTCATCAATCTATAAGGTACAGTTGTCACATTTGGACTGGTTCTTCTAATTATTCTCTTTCTCTTCTAGACAAGGTTCAAAAATGTTTGTAAATATCTTCTCCAGCTTCCTAGGTTTAGCTCTCGTCCTACCATCATATGATGGCATCTATTTTTTTTTTTTTTTTATAGATACTAATATTGCCTCATCTTCACCAAGCTATTTTTTTTTTTCACTAACTCTAACTCAACCTGACAATAGTCGTCATTCAGCAAATTTGTATCCACCTACTGTATCTGTTCCTTCGCGCTCTAAAAATCGTTATTCATCTATTATTATTTCTTGTACATTAAAGGAATTCTCTCCTGTTTTCATGTTTTTCTAAATCATATGATTTGCAATTTTTTAATTTTGTCAACGTTTATCTTAACTTTTCTCGCTCTTTTACTTTATCTTTTCTTGCTTAGAATTTAATTTTTAGTTGTTTTTTTTTCACTACCAACAATGCAAGCAACACTATTTAATTTAGGAATTTTTGACCTTTTGACCTTTGCCTTTTTTTTTATATTAAGAAACACAATCTTTTGCAATGTCTTTGACACTATTTAATTCCTAAATTAAATAGTGTAAAGACATTGCAAAAGGTTTTATATATATTGCAAAAGGTTTCATTCAAGAACAATCTAGAGAAACAAAAAATTGTTCTTTAAATTGTTCTTGTTTTAAAAAAATGAAAGAAACGATTACAAATAAATATTGCATTACCTTTGGAAGGTCAAAACCACGAGATACAGTGAGACAAGATTAGAAACTTCTACAAAACAGTTGCTTGATGCAGTTTATGCCTGCCCAAGATGAATACTTTTATATATATACCATCTCTAGTTTTTACTCAACAAGGTATTAAATCTGTTTTAAATCTAAGTAACATTTCTTACGTTCGTTTTTTACATTCTTTTGAGTAACATTTCTAACATTCATTTCTTACTTTCCATATGAAAGCAAATTAAACGAGGCAGCTTAATATGGATCAGCTAAAATATATATATATTGCCTTACTTAGTCCTTTAACTTCAAAACATGAACTTTGATGTTTGCAATGGAGAGATGAGCTGAGGTCTGTACCACCAGGAGTCTGTAATCATTCAGTAATCACTTAGATTCACTTAAAAACAAGTCAACTTCAGCAATATGATATTTATATATATATTATTTGTGTAAAAGTGTTTTTTTATCTACTTTTTTCTTTTTATTGGTGTTTTTAAATTTAATCACAGTTTACAAACAGCTAATTTTATTGATTTTTAAAAATAATACAGTTTACAAATCACAGTTTAATTTTATTGGTATTTTAAATTTATTCACAATTTATAAATAATTTTAAATCGTGTCTCACTGATGATGTTTGGTAAACAGATATATATCTATAAAAAAATATAACTTTGTATGAAGTTAGTTGTTTATATTTCAAACTGGACAACTACAATTGAACACAATTAATGATTTTGTTATGTGTTTATCAAGAGTTTTTTCGAAAATTTTTTAAGATTTTTCTTTTAGATTTTGAAGACTATATTTAAAAATACTTTCAACAATGCAAGATAATCAAAATGAAAAATTTTGCGATTTTAATGCTGCAGAAAAGGCTGTGATGCATTACTGCAATACCCATTTTCATCCAATTAGAGTTGATTACAAGGAAAAATTTGAAAGTTACAATAAGAAAGTGAAGCAAGAATCATAAATTAAAAATCAACATTTAGATTCAATATATGCATGCAGGTTTACATTTACATTTATGTTTTTAATATTTTTGTTTACTAAACATCGTGGTGTATTTATATCTATTTTATTACTATATATGGATTTTTTTTTTTTAAAAATACTTAAAAATAAAATGTTTATTTATGTTTATTTATGTTTCATATGACAACCAACGACAATTCTATGGTGTTAAAAGAATGTTTCTTGAACACAACCATCCATATGGTATAGAAGAATTTTCTATGTATAGTTCACAGCGTCAACCAAAAGGATTGTTAGAACAGCAGACATTGATGTTGACTGAACATGGGGCAAATACAGCACTCGTGACAGATAGCCTTAATAGAAGCGGTTTGAAAACTAAACCTAGAGATATTTACAACATAAAACAATAGCTTAAATTCAAAGGTTAGTTGTTTTTGTATATACAGTGGTGAGAAAGATATTAGAATCACGTGTTTTTTGTCTATTTTAGCAATTGTCATGATATATTTACTTTATTCAACAAAGTAAATCTGGTTTGAGTTCTTATAGTTTCATAAAACTATTTTAAAAATGCTGGTAAAAAAACAATTTGATTATTCTTTGAGTTAGAGAATAATTTCATGTAAAGTTGATGAGTAACGTATTGTTGTTACAATTATACATATAATCTTTTACTTCTGTTATTGTTGTTTTATGAAAAAAAAAACGTTGGCACATCTGATTTTGAAATATTAAATAATGTAGCATGTCGAACCCTATTTTGTTTTATTTTTTTATTTTTTGTATTTAATATAAATTTTTATGTACTTTTGCAGGGAAAAGGTGGGGATCCGAGTCCATGAAAGAAAGAGAAAGTGGAGGCTTTGTTAAAATTGGGGATTTTGACACAGAGGGAAATCAGTGAATAATTAAACTTGATTCAAAAGGCACTCTAAACTGTAAAGCAGAGGCTAGAATTAAGAGGCCCGGCTAATTTTAAAACTTTTCACATCTGAGAAAAAATTATCACACATGCCAAAAGAACAACATTTCAAAAAAGTTTTTGTGAGCTGTTATGTTGTCACCTCATCCAGGCTGGCTACATTATTTTTTAATGGAGTAAAACACTTCTAAATATAATTTTTGCTTATAGAGTTATTAAATTTAAAATGAATAGACAATCAGTACATTGTTTATTATCCTTTGACAATTGATTATGATGCAAATGACTACACACTAAAAAAAAAAGGTAGAAATTTCTACCTTTAAGGGTATATCACATATCCTACCCCTTAAGGTAGAAAATACCCTACATATTAAGGTATTTTAATCTACCTTTATATGAGGTAGAAAAAAACACCTCAAGGTATAAATTTCTACCTTAAGCAAGGTAGACAAATTTACCTTAAAGGGTAGATTTTTCTACCATAAGAGGTATATCATATATCCTACCCTTTAAGGTAGAATATTATAAAGGTACTTTTTTCTACCCTTGCAAAAGGTTTTCTTTTCCACCCTTAAAAGCATACTTTTTTTTAGGTTTTTGTAAATTTTGATGGGTGATTGCGATGGCATTTGATATTTTACAACGCAAGGAAAACAACACATTATTGAAAAAAGCTATTTAATTTTGTTAGCAGCGTTTAATTTACAACAATTTGTTCAGCAAACGCTGAATCGGAGGATTAACATTGTACTCGCTAAGCCCACAAACATAGTTCGGAAGAAATGTCAATGTTTTTTGCAGCTGCGGATCAAAAGCTATCTCAAAAACCCAATAACACGCTATTAACACTTTGATTGCTTCATCGATGTTTTGAACGTTACAAACAACTTGACCATCGAGATAAATAGCAATATGCACATCTTCAAAATGCAGAATATTTCCTTGGTTTAAACAAGTTATTGTTAATTTTGGTGTGCTCAGAGTTGATTCCTGAAAAAAAGCTATAATCAATTAGATGGAAAAATTATATTATAAAAATTTACAATCAAATTCAACAACAATCAAATGTTAAAAAAAACATTAAAATAAAAGTTGCCTGTAGGCAACATTTTTTATATATCATAAAAAGTGGATCTTGTAAGCATGTATGAGACCTTATTTATCGTGATCCATCTTTCAATAGCTTCACCAAACACGGCAGGCAAGCACAACATAGATGCTTTAATTTTTTGTGCTAAAAATATTTGGAAAAGTTTGTGTAACAAAAAAACAAATAATCACTTAGTGAATAATTAAATAAAACACAGATGATAACCTTCCATATTGATATTCGACTCATATCCTATAGCCGCTATAATACTATTGAATAAGTCGTTGTTTTTGGCTTTGGTTTTCCCTGACTTGACCATCTCTAGAATTGTAATGGACCTTTCAGCTGTAAAGAACTGGTTTATTTTAGCTATTCCATCGTTTTCAGTTATCATATGTACTTCTTCTAACAACTATAAAACATAATTATTATATAAAAATTTACAAATTAAAATTTATTATTTATTTTCTCTATTGATTTGAATAAAATTTAATGTTTGTTACGGCAAACCTCTGTAGCAATCCTCAAAGCAGGATATTCTTCTAATATTTGTGTCGTGGTGGAATTAAGAATAACTCTCCTTCTGTGCACGAAAGTCTTTGCCATTCTATCTCTTACCTTTGCCAAATCAGGAAAAGTTTTTTTTAATTCATTTGACATAGTTACTTTGTGAGCACTACAGCTTAGCAAGTCCTCCATATTGTTTGTTTGCAACTTAAATAAAATTTAAGAAAAATTTTACTTATTAAATGCTTTTTTAAATACTTTTAAATCGCACAAAATATTAATATATACAGAGTTAAGATAATCGAGTTGCTAACCTCTGAACGCTTCTGTTTTGGAGTTACCGCATAATCGGTAAAAATTTATTTTCTTTTCAGCTTTGAACCAAACTTTTTGTGCTCTTGTACTAATGACAAATTATGCATTTTTGCCCTTTCAGACTTAAATCTTGTTTTTAAGCTGTCTAGCCAAGTTGCCTTAAAATAAATAAATAAATATCTATCTATCTATCTATATATAAATATATTTGTATTTGAAATATATATATATATATATATATATATATATATATATATATATATATATATATATATATATATATATATATATATATATATACATGCATATATACATATATTCCAAATACAAATATTGGTTATAAAGTTCTAATGGTTTTTAAAGCAGCATTTATTTTTATATATAAGCTTTATACAAAATAAAAACACAACTTTACACTTACGTATGGCTTTGATTTTTTTTGACGTAAAAATACAATTTTATCTTGTAACTTTGGATAGGTTTGCACAATAGCTTGACACACTGCCTGATACATCTGAGAAGTTGGATACCTAAAATTGAGAAATTTATTTCTGTAAAATTTATATATATATATATATATATATATATATATATATATATATATATATATATATATATATATATATATATATATATATATATATATATATATATATATATATATATATATATATATATATATATATATATATATATGTATAATACAACAGTTACATGTTAGAAACATGTGTTACTAATCCTTACAATGAATATTGCAGAAGATCGTCATAAACAACTCTAATTAACTGCCGCTCACTGGACATATCTAGATCTGCTTTAGAGCTGGCTTTCTCCAGTGCTGCTTTTAAGGACTTTGGAAGCTTGGGCAAACAGTATACTATTGGGAATTGTTGTAATCCAGGCATATGCTCAGTGCTACTAGATTGATCTTCTTGTAACAGTAAAAGTGGTGATGGAAACATTGGCAAAGTATCAGGAGACGTTGTTGCAGCTACAGAACCTATGCAATATAACTATTTAGCAATAAATGATTTATTCATAATTTACCATGCATATACAAATTCTATATGTATGGTAAGTTATAAATTGTGCAATACAATTTATTTGTTATTGATTAAAATAACTTACAGCTTTTTTAATAAATTTTTAAATTTACTTAGATTTTTCTCTGAAACAAAAATTGTTTCTGACCAGATGGAACTTCTTAGCTGTAAAGGCTTAAATTTTGCAAACACAAAATCAAAAAGAGGTTTGTTTATACAACCCTCTACTAAGCCTATAACTTGGTAATACAAAAACAAATTTAATTAACGTGCCTTTTTGAAAATTCCTTTTAAAACTGTAACAATATTGTAATGAGAAAATGTACAAATGTTACCCTTAATAATAACAACTTACTACACAATTCCCAATCTTCACCATCACGAAGAGCGAGTAGCACTTCACCCGAAAGACTGAGTAAAACATCAGTCTCTTCTATTTCTGTTCCATCAATATTTAAAACAATTTTAGCTGGGGAAAACTGGAATTTCTCTAACACTGGAATAAAAATTTAAAAATTAGGAGTTAATTTAATTTTTTTTTTAAACTGGGCTAGCTCTTCACAAGAATACTACTAATAATTTATTATATTAAATTTCTTACCCTTTACAACCAGCATATCAAAGTTTTCAGCAATAATTGCCTTTTTTACTAAGCGATCACCTGACCATATCTTGAAAAGAGGCATTTCCAATTTGTTTAGTGTTTTAATTCAAATAAAAAAAACTAAGACAAATAAAAATATATAACATTTATAAAAAAATTTTTTTCAGACTTAATAGTATAATAATCAAATAATAATTTAATAAGATATTTAATAAGATTTAATAAAATCAAATAATAATTTAATATAATTTTAATAAGATCAAATAATAATTTAAAAAGATATTTGAAAAGTTTTCAGATACTTAACAGTGTTTAATAATAAAAACTTGAGTAAACTGGTAAATAATAAACAGTATAAACAAACTAATTAAATACAAGTTGAAGTAAATTAAGATATGTATGCAAAACCAAAAGTATCAAAACAAATATTTTTGTTAGAAATAAAATTTCATATATAGTAAAGGTTCGATTTTCTCATTTCTCTTCTATGCATACGCGATGACGAAACAAAATGCCTTCCTGATTATTGACAAAATAGGATCCCAGGGACGAATGAATGGCATGTTCTCCAGGTATCACTACAACCCAATTGTCAGAGCACTCTATAGTATAAAAATCAGCAAATTCAATATATTCTTTTGCTATTTGCAAAACACAGCAAATAATCCATGTTCCTTGAAACAATAATATATATTTAACTTTTCCAAATAGGGGCATGTCATTGCTAGCTTTTTTCTGACAAATAATAGACGTTGTTGTATAAAAAACCTGTCCATTAATTCTAAGTTTAGTAGTGGATATAAACTGCTCAGCTCCATTTATTTGATGGGTGTTACCAAACCTATTCTTAATAGCATCTACAAGTTCAAATGGAATTGAACTTATAAATAAAATTTTCTGACTACCTAAAATTTCTGGACCCTTAACATATGGGCTTCTTCCGAAATTTGTAACACACTTACGCATTTCATGTCGTTGTGTCAAAGTGAATGTTATATTTTTAAAATTTTTTACACGGCGTGCAATCTGTTTAAAATATTGATGTTTAGACTCAAATCTCATTACCCAGAGGTGTCGCAGAGGTCCAAAATGTAATAGTAATCTAGGATAATGTACTAAATAATGGATTTTAGGTATAAATGAAACAGGACTAATGCATTCAAGTAGAGAATGGTGTCTTTGAATGAGATGCTCAAGAATAGGTATCCAATTTATATCAATTTCGGGAGCCAAAATGATTTGTACTATCTGTCGACAAAGCAAATGAAGCTGCCAAAAATTATTATTTAGGAGTATATCAGGATTTTTTACTAGGCAACTGACAAAAACTGGCAAAAAATGAAATAGCGACCATCTCTCTACTGCTTTTCCATGGATTCTTTTATTGGTTGTTCCCAAATTATTTGGAATACATGATACAGCAGGTTTATCACAACTATCTGGAATGCTATACTTGAATTTTGCTATTTCTTCTTTTAATTGAACAATAGTGAATAGTTTTTCTTTGATAAGATTTCTTACAACAATTGAAAAATTAACACTCAAAAGTCCTTCAAGTCCATCATGCATAAAATCAGGTGGGAAACATTCAATTGCATTGAAATATTGTAAACTAGATAAAGAACAACGAGAAAGAACACCATATACAGCACCAAGTGACTTATTATCATGTTCAACAAGTGACTTCACTTGTTGAACATGATATTTATGTAAATCTATTGTTCGCAACTGACACGAAGATTCTGAATGAACATCTGAAAGAAACCTAAACGAAACAATGCAGTGGCGACAAATTCTGCCAGATGAAAAGCAAGTAGAAAAACCACCAAAAGAATGAGAGGATAAGTTATCACCAGAGAATGTAACAATAGAACCATTTACATGTTCAATACTGCCATCAATATTTAAATCAAGTCCATATATTTCAAGCAATTTCACATCATGCATAAGTTTATTTAGAACTTTATCATATCCAAACCTTTTGACAGCACTGTATTGGGCAACTAATACTAAATGAATGTGATCGAGATTTGTCCATAAATGAGTGTCAAGATTCCCAACTATACAATAAAAAATTGAAATCTTGTGAGTACCCCGTCTGCTTCCTAGTGCATTACATATTTCTAGCTCATCATTATACAAATGTAAACGTATAAATTTATTGTTATTAACATTTAATGATTTAAAATGTGTGCCATCAGAGTAATCTCGTATAATGCCATCATTTTCAACTGGTTTTAGACGATTTCGTTCACAGCTCGCCCATATATCATCTTTTTGAAGATAGTTTTTTAAAGTTTGAAGAATTGAAATATAATAACCGATTTTTTTTTTTTTTTTTTTTTATCATGTTTTTTTGCAAAAATATTATTACCTGTGTTTGTTATAAGAGGTGGCGACAATATTTCACTGCTTATTTCATTGTTAGAACCATCAACACTTTCATTAAACTGGTGAAGTTCATTAGCTGGCATGTCAAGTTCTTTTGGTGGAACAAATTCAAGGTTATTTAGCATATATAACATTTTAAGATGATCTGTTGCAAATAATTGGGACACTCTGTCATAAATTGAGGAAAATGTTAATATTTGGTTCAACACAGAATCGTCATCTGATTCAATATTTAGTACCTTAAGCCTTTGTCTTATTAATGATACAAAACTATTTTGAAACAAATCAAGTAAATATTTAACCATATCACGTATATCAGAAGCTGCTGAAAGAGGTAACATGTGTTTTTCGCGCAATTGTAGCTGTGCTATACATACATTATTTCCAAAACATTTTAAAAAATCAGAAAACTCTGTATTAAGTTTATTGGCATTTTCATCCACACTCTCAATAATGGTTATGTTCTCTGTTTCCTTTTCCACGATATTTTCTTCTCTATCACTTTCTTCTGTATGTTCACATGTAATTTCAGATAGATCAGTCAGTTTATCGGAAATTATGGAAACAAGATGAGACGCATGAAATTTGAAAAGATGACACCTAAAGGTATTAACAGTGTTATAACGATAACCACAACTATCTAAACTACACGACAAACTCAGTTGTTTTTCATGACTATGCTGCAACATCATATGATTGATTAATCCTCGTGCATTGTAAAACCCTTTTCTACAGAACTCGACTTGACAATAATAGTCCATACTATAATATAATAATAGTCCACGCAGTTCAAAATCTGCAAAAGTAGTTTATAACAGTTAACTTTAAATGCCGCATGCATCCTTGAAACCGGATGCTGCTATTAATCTGTTAATAACAAATGTAAAAAAGTATTTCTAAGTTATTTAGCTTTTAGTTTTTTACTGGAAAAAAAAATGTATATAGATATATATATTTATATAATATATATATTTTTAAGAACTATGTTATTTTTATTTATTATTTACGTCGTCTGTCTTTTGGGTAGGAGCTTTTTAATTTGTAAGATATTTTTAGGGTTTACGAGCCGCATTTTGGTGACATCTAACATCAAGGTAGAAAACTATGCGTAGGTAGAATTTTCTTCCTTTTTTTACCAATTAAACTTAAGAGTAGATTTTTCTACCCTAAAAATATTATTTTCTACCCTCGGGTTGGATAAGATACCCGTATTATACCTTTTTTTTTTAGTGTGTATTTTACTAGGTGCCTTTTCTCTTTTGGGCTAAATTCATGACTTTTGTCTTCTACTTTATTTATATTTGTGTTTTAGATTGTCTTTAGTGATGAATCAACATTTCAAGTCCTGAGTAACTAGTGGCAGAATGTTCGACGTTGCTCTGATTAGAAACACTTCCAACTGCCTGGTAAAAACTGCAAAGCATCCAACATCAGTAATGACGTGGTCTTTAATTTTAGTTCATAATGTTAAAAGGCTGTATATAGTGAAGCGCACAATAAGACAGCAACATGTACTTTATGTTAAACTTACTTGTGTTCTAATTCTAACCTGCACGTTATTTTTTTATTTTACAGGTGTTACTGTTATTGAATTAATATTGAACTTATGTTAAACTAAAATTAAACTATTGAACTTTTCAAGTAAAAAACTGTCAACTTAACTATGAAATGGCAGTTCCAGTTCTTGCAAATCCAGATTGAGATTAACTACTAAGCACTAGGTTGTTGAAAAGCCAATTTTTCAGTTATTTACAGAAAGATTACCATGTATCCTGGATGTACTTCAACTGCTCCAGTTTCATTATTTAAGTGAAAAGAGAACTCTTCCTGAAAGTCTTGTGATGCAGTAATTTGTATTTGGATGAAATCCAGAATATCAAACAGCTGGTTGATGTGTCAGAAAACCGCCAACAGAACTATCTGGCTTTAAAGGTACACAGAACACGGCAACGCAAAAGCGACATGATGAAAGAAGACATTTTTAAAAATGATCTTGAAAAATTGTTTGGTATTGCGACATTGGATGTGATGACAGAATCATAGAACAAACAAGATCAGTAATTCCTTTGCATGCAAAGAGAAGAATTTTTTTCTTGCCTAATGAGTGGAGCAGATGTAAATACAGCAGCAAAAAAAAAAAAAAAAGCAAGAAAATGCAATGAGAAGAACAAGAGAGAAAGAGAAAAAAAAAGAGAAAAAAAAATGTGTATCAGCCAACTCAGCCATGTATGCCAACAGTGTCAACATCAACAATCAACAGATTCAACAGCTTCTGCTTCATCACTAAAAATAAAATTTAAGAATATCTTACAGTTACCTGAAGTTGTAGATGCTTTAGATTGTGTTTACCTCCCAAACCCTAAAACTGTGTTTGTTGTCAGAGCTGCTGCACAGGTGCTTGGCTATGACATTTCAGACGTAACCTTATTTCAAAGTTCAATTAGGTAATCCAGAATAAAAGAAAGATAACAGGCTGCTACAGTGGATGAAAAAGAATTTTCTTTGGCAGGACCACTATTGCTTCATTGGGACTGCAAAATATTGCCTGACATTGATGGATCAAAGGAAAATGTGGGTTTAACAGTAACAATAGCACAGCTGTTATTGTTACTGGGAATGGCTAGGAAAGATTGTTAGCTAATCGACTTCTGTCTTTGTTTACATTTACATTCACATTTAACTAGGAACATCAATAATGGAAAACTAAATGTACCTCCCTATAAAACTTTGAGAAATGGTAAGTATTTAATTACACATCAGTGCATAAGCGAATAAAATCGAAGTCTTGTGTGCATTGTAAATAAGTTTGAAAAGTTAATATTTCAAAATAATTTATCTTAATTTCATTATTTAAAACAAAATAAATTTAAACGAATTCTAAAAAAATTTTATTTTAATTTTTTTATCATTATTTACTTCTTTTATTTTACTTTTTTTTTCTTTTTTTTCTTACTATTTCTATAGAAACTTTATTGTTTTTGTCATTAATATTTATTACTTTCATGACTTATGTTTTTATTATTGCTATTATTATTAAAATTATTATAAATAATTGTAAATGATTGCAAACAATTATTATAAATATTTTATAATAGTAATAATAAACACTGATGTTTTTATTATTATTATTAAAACTATTATAAATACTATTATTTTCGCTGTTACTTTTGCTCAACTTGTGAATAAAGTTATTGTTATTATTTTTTTTTTTAAATTAATATTATTAATATAATTATTTGGTCACTCCTTCGATCAGGATTCTGCATGAGTGACTTCTTCCTCAACCTATTATTTATATTTATTCTTAATAATTGTATTTTGATTGTATTATTCATAATATTATAAAAATTCTTATTATTTTTATTATTATTGTTATTATTATTGTTATTGTTCTCGTTATTATTGTTTATATATTATTGTTATTATATATAAATTTTAATTTATAGTTTGTTATTATTGTTATTATTGTTATTATTAATATATTACTGTAAATATATGATTGTAAATTTTGAGAAAAATAAATATCTTGTTGTCGTTATTGTTGTTCTGATCCTAGTCAGTGCTCATTTTTTCATATACATATATATATATATATATATATATATATATATATATATATATATATATATATATATATATATATATATATATATATATATATATATATATATATATATATATATATATATATATATATATATAATTAGGTTCTACACTTAATAAAAAAAAGACATTGCTTATATATCCAGAAAGTCTTTATCACATTGATGCTAATTCAGATGGACAAGTTGATTGCATAACTTGGACAACAACTGAGCAAATAATACTCCTGCAAATATTTCCAGATATAATAATGATGGATGGCACTTATAAGTAAACTTATATATTTATTTTTTTTAAAGTTGTTTTTTTTCTCTTTTATTTTGCAAAATATAATGCATTGTTTTTTTATTAGGAACTGAATTTTTTTTTTACATAAAATACTTATAATGTATAGGTATATAATCTCTCAATGCCTCTATACACACTTGCTTTAGTAGATCAACATGGAATGGGGGGACCTGTAATACAATCAATAGTGTATTGTGAAGATCAAGTTTATATCAGAATGTTTCTGATACGATCACAAGAATGGGCTGGTTTTAAAACATTTTTAACATCCATTTTTGTAATTGATAAGGCTCAAGCTGAAATATCAGTGTTGCAGACTACTTTCCCAGATAACCGTATTTTGCTTTGTCGATTTCCTGTATCCAAGACATTGGTACATAAAATAAAAAAAAGTAATTTGATAAGTAATGACAAAGAATCTTTATATAAGGTTAGTTCTAAATAATTCTAGCTAATTGTATTAAAAAAGCAGTCATCAAAAAATTATTAAAAATTAAAATAATGCTTTGAAAGTTTTAATAGTTGTGGAGCATCTATGTTTATTGTATGCCTTGTATTAATACAAGTAATTTTATTTGTAACATCATACATTTGATTTATTATTAGTTGTTTTTTATTATTATTTACTTATCTTTCAGGCTACAAAAAGGTTATTATATGGTAGCCAGCAAACATGTAATGTAACTTTGTTAAATATACAAGAGACCTTTCCAGTGTTTTATACATACTTAACAAATAACTGGTTAATGATGGCTTACACGTTCATGGGCTACCACAGAAAAGGTCTACTCCACATTGATAATCACACCAATAATAGATTGGAACGGTTTGATGATTTGTTTTCTATTTTGTTATAAGGTTAATTTTTAGTTAATAATACGTTACCAAATTTATAGGTAGGGCAAAGTGCCCTAATAATTGCTGGGTCTTATTAAGAGCCAAATTTGGGTTCACTTTTATTGCATTTATTTATTTGGCGGAACATTTATCTAGTTGTTGATTATTTGACTTTTCTGTTTCTTTAATATATCTATGTTTTAATCTAACTTTTATAAATGTTTTTTTCAGTCTTGATTTTAAGGAAATCTTACTTTTCTCAACGTTAGTTTAAGTGAATATTTTATGCCGTAAATAGTCATTTTTGGTTTTTTCATGCAACTTTAAGACACATTTAACGCAATATTCCTTCAGTAACGGCTTTTTGGTTTATTTTGATCTGTTGTGTACTTTAATATTACTATGTAAACTGTTTTTTTTGTCAATATACGATAGGCAGAAGCATCAATATAAACCTAAACTCCCAGATTTCAAATAGGTCTCAATAATAGCCACTCATTTGACCAAATAAGAGCCACGGCTCTTATTTGTAATATCGTATTATTATGTGGCTATTATTAGGAAAATAGTTGAATTTATTGTGTATATAAATTTAATTTATTGTGTCACAATAAATTAAACTTATATGTCCTTATTATAAGTCCTAGTAACTTATATGTCCTAATTATATCCTTATTATAGTTTTGCTTAGTGTTTATACATGGTAGAGTAAACACTGATTATAGTTAATATAAGGCTTATATTAACTATATCCAGTATTTACTTTACCATGTATAAACACTAAGAATAATTAGTATTTACTTTACAGTATTTATTATAGCGGTTTATTATGTTTGTAAGTATGTAATTTTATTTTTATAATGTTTGTAAATATTTAAAGTAATAGTTTATATATGTATTTTATAATTTATATAATACATATAAACAAAAATTATTATTATTAATATTTACTAGCTACATAACAATTTAAAATATATATATTTTGTATATTTAATTTAATGCTCACTAAGTATACCATTATATTGTATTCTTG